GCAGGGCTGGACCTGGATTGGTGGGAGGGGGCAAAGTGGGGGCACAGGGCTGGACACGGGGCTATGTCCCTCCTCCCCCACCATCATTCTTGATGGGCAATTTGCTAGTATAAAATATTAAGCCATGTACCCACTAGCATTACCTTCTAGGTTTTGGAAAGCATATACCAGTTTATTATTTTTCCTAACAGTATTTGCTTGCTTGCTTCCAGTTCTATTATTATATTTCTGCCTTGTGTTTCAGTCTTAGACTTTCTGTCAGCATGGGAATTGTGTTGTTGCAGTAGCAGGTTATGTCAGCTGTGTGCATGTTAAACATGCCCTCTGTGCTCCTGTACATGCACTCTCTCCAGGTACACTATGTATATTTCTTGAATGGATTAACTGAATCCCAGAGAAAAGCTTCAAACTCTGGTAAAATCTGAGGACACAAGATTAAAGCTGCTCCTCCCCAGCTGTTATAAAAAAGGCAAAGCAAGGCCCTTGAATGCAATTCCTAAACCAAATAGCCTAACTGAAACAAAGGTAAAGTCTTAGAGCATTGTAATAATAATAAAAAGGCATGGTATTAAATTTGTGTAAAAAATAAATAAATTGGAACCTCCAGCTATTCTCATGAAGTTTCAGCACCGATCTGAGCTCTGATCCATTCTCATCACTCCTACTGACTGGAGAAATTTAAAAAGCCCCTAAAACACATATGAATGATAAAATAATCTTTCATTATAATGCCACATTAGCTTATACCCACCTGTCCAGGTCATGAGATGTAGAAAGAATCTCAGTTTTACCAGTCTGGTCTTATGCATACATATATGCTACCCTGTTATTGCTGTCTTGCACACAAGTAAATAGCTTTGCTGCAAAGCAACAGTAAGTCAAAAAATGTCAGGAGGAACTTAGAAAGGTGAAATATTATGGAGTGGAGATGATTCAACAAAATGTATTTGAATTTTTGATAAAAATCGGTCTATTCTTCTAAGGAAGAAGTTTCAGAGAAAGCTTATACCAGATTTCCATGTTTTTTTAGCAAGGCACAAAAAATTTTCTTTTTTTATTAAAAAACCCAGAAAATTTCTAAAAACATTTGGGAAAGAAAAATCTTGATTTGCCATTTCTTTTGCATTTTTTTTTAAAAGTATTTACCATGTTCTTCCAGAAATTATCGTCAAATTCCAGTGAGGATTTATCAAATTTGTCCTTTTTAAAGTTTCATTAAAATGTCAACAATTCTACACAGTCAAAATATCCCAGCTTCTATGTACCTGAGAAAAAGAAAAGAAAAGGTACTTCCAGAAGCATAAAGAAAGATGTTGCCACTCAACCAGGTGTAAGCTAGAATTTCTGGAATGTCTCCAAAGCATGTATTGACAGCATCCCAGTTCTCTTAGATTTGATTAAATCAGTGCCTGAAGTCATGCATCTGCAACTGCTGTATAGACATTCGTTTGTCAGTGTGTCAAAGAAGATGCATAAGCTGAGTGTAGTATAAACTTGCTCTCTGTCTTTCCATACCTTAGACTCGTATCAAACCACAAAGCTAACTCTTTATTTAATTTGAATACGCCTAGTCTATATTTTATGGAAACAATCTTTGCTGTAAATAGGCAAGAAAGTCTAGAAATAGTACTCTCTCACCACAAATAGTAAGAAGGAAAAGGAAGTTTAAGTAGGAAAGGTTTAATAAGAATAGCCTAAAAAATAAAGATAGATCAAAATGTGATACAAATAGCTTGTCCTGGATTTAATCTATTTGTATTAAAATTCAATGGATTTAATTTAATTGCATTAAAATTCAATGGAATAAACAAGCCCACGGTCAAAAGTGATAAGATGAACATGTTACTGTGTAACACTGAAGAATTCAAAAAGGTTTGGGCTTTTAGTTCAGGGTCCTTGGCCTGCTCAATTAATGTAAACACAACCCATATCACAAATAATCTTTTTTTTTTTTTAACCTTTAAAGAAGAACCTCCCTCCCCTGCCCCGCCAAAAACAGAAATAGTTTAAATGTAAAGTGTTAAAAGACTCTATTTTACCAGCATCACCTATTCCCTTTCCCATTAGCTGTACAGAGGTTTTATAATGCACAGACAGAGAGAAACTGTTTCACAGTCTTTTAGTATGTATTGAGGAAAGTAATACCAATTATTTATGCAGAAAAGAGGGAAAATAGTTTTAAAGGGCTGAACCCGTTGTCCTTAAGAGTACAATTCTATTTCACTGAAGAAGCACATGCATGGAAGGAGAGAATAGCCAAGGCAGGAAATGAAGAAACTGGGAGAATGCAGAGATTCCCTGGTGCAAATTCTTATTTGCAGACTCACTGCTTGAGAAAGGCAAGCAGAGCACATGATCTTATCAGCCATTCTGAACAACTTATACTTGCATTTAGGCTTTTGAAGATGATTTTTGGCTGACTTGGTAGTCACAGCTTTATGGCAGTGTTAAAATATATGTAGTCTTAGATGACAAAGATTCTTTAGCAGAAGGCAGAGGGAGAAAAAAAGAGAAGAAATATGGGTGGGAAGGATAAGGAGAGGAGAAGAAAAGGGAAAGTTCAGGAAAAAGTCTCACATTACAGGTGGTCTGTGGGACTTAATTATACCTGGTGGAGGTGACAATGTCACCTCTTTGGCGTGGCCAGGATCAGGATATTCTGACAACGGCCCAAGAATCCCAGAAGATAGGAAGGTGAGTCATGGTGATAAAGCTCACTCCTTCCAGTTCTGGGGGGCAGTTTCAAGCAATATTTCCCCACTGGCTGGCTTGCCAAATTAAAGATGTAGATGGAAGAGCCCATCCTCACATGATTTGTTCTCTATCAAGTCTGGTTTTAGTCTGCTGATTTCCAATCTGCCCATCTTCATATTAAATAGATATTATTTTACGTTCCCTTGTTTGGAGCAGTAGCCTTTTTTGTGTGGACTAATTTGGTTGTTCTATTTTAATTTTTTGATGACTTTTATAAAGAATTTTATGGAACAGGCCGAGCTGGACTCCAGCAATGTTGAAAACAGGCCTCTGCACGACATCACTAAGATCTGACAGGTTCTGACTTGCCATCAGTAAGGTGCAGCTTCTAAAGGTACATTACAGAATGGATTCTGCAATTAAAGGTGTGCCTTCAACTGCAAAATGCTTGTGCTTTCTGACATAAATGAAAAGGTGCGGTCAACCAGAGAGCCAGCTTTCTGCTAAGAACTTTTATATTACTCAACAAACCAGATATTCCTTGAGAAAGATGCTGATACAGTAAAGACTAAGCTTGCAAACCATCCTTACGTACAGAAATGCTTCAGAGTATTACCCTGCAGATTTTTTGAAGGGCGTGTGCAGGAAGAGGTACATGTGAATCAAGGGTAGGTGGTGAATGGTAGGCCTGTGCAAAGTGGCTAGTATTTGCTTCAGATTCAGATTCAGCTGATTTGGGGGACAGTGATTCAATTTGGTGATTTGAATCACTGTCCCAAATCGAATCGGCTGAATCTCCAAATTGGTCCCATTCCCCGCCCGCTCTCAGTGGCTGTCCCTCCCACTCTTCCAGCTCCTGGCTCTTTGAAAAAAAAGCCCCTACCCACCAGCTGCTGCCAGGCGGGGGGGGGGGGGGGGGGGA